TAGATGGATAAGTTACACAAATAGCCAGAGAACAGGTTTGAGATGTACAAGGCGCTTGGACTGGATGCTGGGAGAGGGTAAAAAAAATGGCTGGGGAAATGCAGCACAAGTCCAGCAAGACTTGGGAATGGTGCACAAAAGTGAGAGACAAGTGTGAGTGCAGCAGGGTTGGGTGGCTGCTGCCAATGGGAGAGGACATGCAAGAGTACACAAATGGACAAAGTGAGACATGGACAAAGTGCAGCAGGCTTAGGATTGTTGCTGTTAGGTGAAGAGGAAGGCATGAGCAATTGAAAAGACTGTACAAGGGACTGTAAGTAGCCAAGTTCAGGGAGGGTGCATGAGGATGAACAGATAGCTGACAAGGCACAGGAGGCTTACTCAGGAAACTTTTGATCTTTCTACCAGGTTTCTCATTGATTCTGCTTGTTGTAAATGTGGATGCTGCAATTATCATCAGTACAAGCAGTAGTCAAGCAGCTAGATCAGGCCTGTCAAACTGACGGCCCATGGGCCAGATATGTCATGGACAGGCCACGCTCACCTCAGCTCCACAAAGGCAAAAAACCATGTCATGATTCTGCCCGTGATGCGATTGAGTTTAACACCGGTGACCTAGACCATGTTCATGTGATTGCGGGGTGTTGAGATGAGACAGTAGAAACTTTGGTTCCCATTTGTTCAGTGCCATTGTAACAATAGGTCATTAACTGAGGAACACTTTCACACATGCTCTGGATATTCATACTATTTCATTTTTTTCCTATAACTTTTTGGTAATTTACATTTAGAAGAAAATGGAATGCTGCATATTTGTTGCTGTTAGTGCTTCTCCATCTTGTTTCGATATTCTTCAACTTTTCAACTTGTTCCAAATGTTAGCGCGGTTGTATATCAGATTTATCTTTCAGTAAATTGGTATTAACTTCTATATGATTCTAGTTTTTAACTGTAAGCATTCCTGTGGAAAATGCTGTAAAGACAAGTTCTTTTAATCATAATAAAAAAGTGAGGTTTAAGTTGTATCAAATTATTTCAGAATACATGATCTTACTTTAAAATAAGGTTATCGAACAGATAACCTTATCCTTAAATAAGGATATTTTGTTGCTATAACATCATGACATGTAAAATTAATTTAATGATTTAAATTAATTTTACTTCATAACTTCAAATCCTAACACATTTGCAGAATGCTGGGAAGAACATTTAAGATCATTGTTATTTTCTATCACCATTATTTTTTTGGATAACAGTTAAGGGAACCTGCAGCACACGAAGTACAGGTAGTCCTCAACTTACAACACTTCATTTAGTGACTAAGGCACTGAAAAAAGTGAATTATTATCATTTTTCACATTTATAATTATTCCAGCATCCCTATGGTTATGTGATCAAAATTTGGAGATTGGCATATTTATCACGGTTATAGTGTCCTGGGAACTGTGATCAGCTTTTGCAATCTTCCTATAAGCAAAGTAAATGAGGAAGCCAAATCTCTTAACAACTGCATTACTAGCTTAATAACTACAGTGATTCATTTAACAACTGTGACAAGAAAAGTAATAAAATGGGGCAAAATTCACTTAAATGTTTCACTTAGCAATAGAAATGTTGGGCTCAATTGTAGTTGTAAGTGGAGGACTACCTGTACTACTCTAATAATTAAGACCACACTTCTATTCAAATTACATTGTTATATTCAACTTACCCTCCACCTATTGAAATGAATCAAGGTAACTCTAAGAGTTAAGCTGAAGTTGCTTAAATCTGTCAATTCAAAAAAAATCTACAGGATATTAATATACAAGTGAAATACATATTATAAAATTATTCCTCCGAAACATGTATTTTAAGATATTGTAAACTTGTGTATAAAGGGCATTATATGTCAAAACAACTAGACACACAGAGACAATTTTTTCCCTTGTGCCATCACTCTGAACACCTAATCCTCAAAGTACTGTCTTATGTCTAAGTATATTCATTCATATAGTTGTGGTATTATTATCCTTCTCATCTTCTCTACTACTCCCTCTTACCGGTATCATTATTATGATTACCCATTGTTGTTTGTACACTGAGAGCTTCTGCACTAGAGACAAATGCCTTGTGTATCTCACTTGGACCAAAAAAAATATTCTCTAATATCAAAGAAAAGCTACTCATGCATAGTACTTATTATTATCATGCTGAAATTAAATCAGATCAAATTTCTATGCAATAAACTATGAAGCTAATCTAGAATTTTGTGTGCCATTGCTGCTTATAATTCTCATTGTAACAGAAGCAATACACAAAAATGAACAAGTGTTCATTATACAAGACAGCTCCATCTCTTTGCTGGTAAAGAACAAATAGCATCACACACTATACCATCAATTGTAGAAAGTGCATATCTGACCAAGGAGATAAATCAAAAGAGAAATTTCCAATTTATCTCACATGTAATATGTAACAAAACATGTTTAAAACTCAGGGGGGGAAATACATTATCTGAAGAGAGAAACCTTTTCAAATAGTACTTCATTGATATAATTTCAAATTCCTACTGGAACAAATAAATATTAACTAATCATCATATGAAAGGTAATTCCACATAAACTCTGGAATGTTTGTGTTTCCATCTATTAAGTATGCTTATTTTTTCACACTTTAAATAAGAAAATAGTATCTAAATTCTCTTATATGATTCATTATAACAATTCAACATTACAAATTAGTGCTAAATACATTAGGATTATTACTAATTTGGGACCAGTTTTCTTCTCTCAGCCAACCTACCAGACAGATGCTGCTATGGGAAAAATTGACAAAAGCACAATACATGCCACAGTGGACCAATAAGGAATCAAAACAGAAGTTGCATCGAATTGAAGCTCTGACAACTTTCTCAATATTGCACACGTGTACAAAGTGAGAGGAATTGTACTGCAGTGTGATGATTGCTGTCTTGACTTTTTTGATCCCACCATTAACTTATAGGTCACCCTGAGCTCCTGAAAATAAAGGAAGCTGTAATATAATAAATACTTTTATTTTTACATAGGTACAAAGGTTGATTATGTTGTAGCCATTTTGCTGATAAAAAGAAGTTCCAAATTATCTTCACACGAAGCAACAAATTGTTTTCTTGCTTCAGAAATTGCATCTTTCTGAAAAAGCTTTCTCTTTCTTTGACAAGTCAAATACCTTTACTGAAAAGAGCAGTGTACTTGTTTAGAAATAAAGAATTTTCAATTTACAAAATTGAATTTACAAAATATTTCAAGTAAATTATCTTAGGAAAACTCCACAAAAATGCAATTAATGACAAATAAACCAACCATAGTTTATAAAGTTGCATGAACAAAACTATGTGGTCAGATAATGTCCAGTTCAATATGTCATGAAAATTCATAAAATGGGGCTGAGTAAACTATGTTTATGTTAACCATGGATAATTATGATTTGAAAAGACAGCTAAAGAAAGCATACCAATGAACTGCCAGGATAAGGCAGTGCTAGCTAACCTTTTCCACATTGTGTGCCAAAAGTGCGTACGAGTGCCTGCACCCATGATGCAATACGTTCATGACTCCCCCCACCTCCTGCACATGCACACATGACCCTGTGAGTGCACGTGCAATTCTGCACATCTGCACGCAAAGCCCCGCACCACACCTCTGCGCATCTGTACGCAAACCCCCGCATGCTGCATGCCTCTGTGCATGCATGCAAATCTCCCAAGCGTGCGTTTCCCCCATGCATGTGCAGCAGATACCCGACAATCAGCTGGCTGGTGTGGGGCATGCACATTGGAGCTCTTCTGGGTGACCTCTTGCATGCCGGCAGAAGTGGCTCTGTGTGCCACTTCAGCACGCGAGCCATAAGTTCGCCATCACGGGGCTAAGGCATCATACTTATCTAATAAGCATGATATACCATATATGCTACGTTTGGGTTCATGCCAATACAGAGTACAACTGTATTTCAAAAGTTGTAATAACCAGATTTTTACTACAGATTTATACAAATATACCAAAAATCAATTAAGCACAATAGCTTAAACCACTCAACAGAAGAATTAGAATTTTCAGAAAACAATTATGTATAATTTATGAACCAAGAAACATTTTTAACAATGCTGTCACACTGTGTTATAAACCTTACCTTATGGTAAGACAGTTAGCAATCTTTACAAAAAAGCATATTGCTGGCATTCAACCAAGAATGAGCATACAGTACAAGCACTATGAACTCAAAGTGGCTGAAAAACTAGCAGACACTTGAGAAACAGAATCAATGTTGTGCCTCTCTCTTTTTTAAAAATCCCACTTTCACTGGCATGTCATCTCCAAATAATTTTCCGACTTCTATCTGCACTAATAAACGACTGTAAAAACATCAGCTCACTCGGCCCTTGCTTTGGAAAATAAATTGCACCATCATATGAAAGAAACTGAGGCAGACACAGGATGCAGTGACGTACTGGAAGTTAAAACCAGCTATTGGGATCGTCTCAGCTGATGACACAAAGCAACTTCAATTCTGGGATAACAGGGAAAAGAAAAGGGACCAGGTGTTATTCATGTAAAAACAAACTTGAAAGTAAATACCCTTCCAACAGAGGCCTAGGGGAGAATAAGTCTTTTCAGCAGGCATTAGTAGTCTAATCACCTTGGCGTCTTTTCAAAAGCCAAGCAAACCCTCGGCTTCACTGCTAAGCAAGCGTCCGGAAAAATCCCTCCCTGACAGTGGCAGCCCCAAAGGAACACCCAAAACATAATACGAGATAAAACTCATCCGAGGCCAATCTACACCAGGAAAGTGATGCGGCGCTCTGATTGGGAGCAGCAAAGTGGGCCTAGACAGTCCGAGGCTAGGAGATTGGGTGAAAGAAGTCTTCAGAAAGCAGAAGAGCTCCAGAAAGAGAGGAAAATAAAGCACAAACGCCTCCACCGCGGACCCCCCAGCCTTTCTCTGTTTTCCAATCCGCCCCTTCGACGCCGAATTTTTACCTCAGCTAACATCATCACTGACGGTGGAAGCCTCCGGCTCTAGCTCCGCCGCATGGTGCAGCTGATCCCAGCCTCAGCCCAACGCACACCACTAAGGAAGGGGCCCTGCAGCTCTCGGCCTCTTCAGAGATCCTTCCGTAATGCCAAACCCATTCCAAACGCCGCCGCCCGCTCAACAGGGGCGGCCATCTTAAATACGTGAGACGCCGCAGCCGCCGCAGCTCTTCGTGGCGCAGCCGCCCAATGGGGCATTAAGGCGCGGGGCAGGCCTCTCCTTTGGCTGGACTCGTTGAGTTTGGCGCGGTTTCCTTTCGCGCCGAGGCAAGCAGACGTCAGATATAAATTCGTTCATACTGTCTGCTGCGCTTCCCAGGACGGGGCTTGTAAAGCGGATCTGGATGGAAAGAGTAGGACTAAGCCCGGATTGGTACAGACTGTAGGAGATCCGGCTTTAAAATCGCTCTTATAGAGAACAGGATGTGTCTGCCTAATAATTCTTACTCAGTAATAAAGAGGCCGGAGCAGGGAAAGGACATTTCACAGTATTTATAATCTTAAAGAATAGAGAGTGTAATATTTAAACTATATTGGAAAGATTAGCAAAGAAGAGCAAGAGAAGAGGAACTGCAACCAGCTGCAGGCAGAAACATAACTAACAAAACTAACCAGCCTGAAGCTGACAGCCCAACCCAGTCCTGCCATGGATTTAACTCCACCAAGTGGTGATGTCCTTATTTACAGTGTTCGTGTTTTGTTTTCCCTTTTTTCCTACCAACATCATCAACCTGCAGGAAAACCTCCCCATCCAAGTCATAATTAGGGGCTGAGGACAGAAGGGTGGTTTATATTTGGCCATCAAGACTTGCTCTGACTTTGTACAGATATTTTTAAATAGAAACCTTCAATAATTTGCCATTTTGGGATATGTTATGGTTTTCAGGTAGGAGCTAAATGTGGGTTGGGAGTTCTTGCAGAAAGTTAAACCTCTGTTCAAAAGCAGACCATTCAGTTATGGAATATTCCATGATTTAAACATCCCCAGTCTATAATACCAAATGCATCATTTCTAGGATTATGTGGCAATTGCAAAGGGCCTTCACTGCTTTAATAACCTTTACACAAGAACTACATTTGATACATTTTCTCCTCTGAAGCATCTTTTTGTCTTGTAGCTGAAGTGCTGTGGAACCCTATTATTTACAATAAACTAAATTACTCTTTAAATACTTGTGCTACCAATTCATCAATACAGGTAATCCTCAACTTACAACCATAATTGAGCCCAAAATTTCTGTTGCTAAGTGAAAAAATTGTTAACTTAATTCCCCCCATTTTACAAGTTTTCTTGGCCCAATTGTTAAATGAATCACTGCAGTTTGAAAAATTAAGTGACAGCTGTTAAGTGAAATTGGTTTCCCCATTGACTTTGCTTGTCAGAAGGTCGCAAAAGGGAATCACGTGATCCTGGGACACAACAATTGTCATATATATGAACCAAGCATCTGAATTTTGATCACATGACTGTGGAGATGCTGCGATCATAAGTGTGAAAAATGGTCATGTCACTTTTTCAGTGATTTTGGAGGACTACCTGTATGCTGATGACACTCAGTTATATGTCTCAGCTCATGGTGAGTTAAGCTATGCCGCAACCTCCCTCTCTCAGTGCTTAGAGGCTGCTAAGAGCTGATAGGGCTGAAACTGAACCCTGACAAGACAGAATGCTCTGAGTTGGAGTTTTTTAGTCCGTAGAGAATTGCTATCTCTCAATCTTGGGTGGAGTGGCACTGTCCTAGACAGACCTATAATCTAGGAAATATCCTGGACTCATGACTCCTGCTCGAATCATGGCCAGAAAGACCCTCATATAACTGTGGATTTTGTACCAGTTATGCCCTTTTCTGGCTCAACAGTCCTTGTCATAGTCACTCATACCTAATCACCTCCCGTCTTGACTATTGCAATACGCTGTACATGGGGCTGCCCTTGAAAAGTATGCAAAAACTTCAATTGGTTCAAAATGCAGTGGCCCTCATGGCTTTGTGCAGGTTTAATGTGCGTATGTATCATTTCTCCTGCAGGAGTAGTATTGGCTGACAATCTGCATCTGGGTCCAGTTCAAGGTGCTGGTTCTCACCTTTACATGGCTTGGAAGCAGATTATTCGAAGGACCGTATTTTCCCATTTACCTGAGCCACAGAGTAAGAAGGCAAGGAATGCTACAGGTCCCTTCTCCTAAGGAGTCCATGTAGCAGAATTAAAAAAAAAAAACTTTTCTGTGGTGGCTCCCTCCCTATGGATATAAGATTGGTCCCCACTTTGCACCACATAAGCTATGCCACCCCCCCACACACCCTGCTTTTGCTCCTAAGGCTTGGTAGGCCCTGTTTTGGGCCTAGGAGGCCTCCCTGCAGCCTCCTGGGAGCATCCAGCTATCCAGTATGCCTGGATTCGGTGTTTAGCCAAAAGAACATTTGGACCTAGTACAGTATTATGATTCCTGCCTTGGGAATGTTCTGGGTAAACAAAACTATGCAGTCTCTGTTAAATTGGCGGCACCAGTAATTGTAGGCAAATCCTTTTAACAGTTAATAGCGTTTATTGAACATAACTAGTTACCCGCGGCTGCCACAAGTTAACTCATTCGTGCGTGGTGGTGGGCAACAGCTGACGCCTTCTGACAGCCCCTTTTATATTGCAGCTGTCAGACCGGCCAGCCAATGAACAACGGCTTCAGCTCCCGCCTGAATTGTGGACTGGGAAGAGGACTACATTGGTACGTAACACCCTTTCCCCCAGCTAAAAACATGCATACTCTTGGAAGTAGGTGGGGCGTTGCCTGACTTGCCCTGATCTACGCAATTTGGTTGGAGGAGGATCAGTTGTAAGACCAGCTGTCTCCAGCAGAAGTGACTCAGGGCATTTCGATGCAGGAAATTCTTGCTGGATCGGAGTAGCGTCGGAAGGTAGGTTCTCCTCGTGCAGAGGTTCAGAGGTCGTCGTTTCGGGTTCGGAGTTGTCAGTTTCCACATTTGTTGGTCAGTTGCCATGTTGTCAGTCATCATCGGGTCAGTGATCCATGGATGAACTCCATTGACCTCATAATTGATCGATATGGTGCTGCCATATTTGGCCGTCGGATAGCCTAACTCTATAGGACTTTGGGCCCGTGATAGCAATTATCTCCCCGGTAACCATAAAGGGTCCCCTACAAAGTTCCTTGCATAAACTGGGTCGTATAATTTGAAAACCCTAAACTTGCTTGAGAAATCTAATGGATAGGTTGGGGAGAAATTTGGGTGCATTCTGTCAAGGCTTGTACGCAAATGCTGACCCATCAGAAGTTCTGTCGGGGAACATTTAGTGGCTGTGCTTGGTGTTGAATGCTGGATTAACAAGTACTTGCTAATTTAGCATGCAAATCCTTTCCCTCCATCCTTCCTAGGGTTTCTTTGGCAGATCTAATTGCTCTCTCTGTCTGGCCATTCAATGCCGGGTGGTATGGCACAACCAAGGCATGTCAGATGCGCATGTTTGCTAAAAAGACTTCAAATGTGTTGGACGTAAATTGGGGCCCATTGTCAGACACTAACACATTGGGTAGCCCATGTGTTGCGAATAACCTTGTTAATGTTTTTATTATGCCCTCTGATGTTACTGAATGCATAAGTGTTAGTTCCACCCATTTAGAATATAAGTCCACTATTATTAAAAATGTACACCCTTTGAAGGGCCCCGCCAAGTTGATATGCGCTCTTGACCAGGGGGCTCTATCCGATTGCCATTCGAAAGGGATGGCCATGGGCAGTCCGGGCCTTGACAACTGACAAGCCTGGCAGGCCCCGACTGTTTCTGTGATCGCAACGTCCAAACCAGGCCACCAGACATAGCTTCTAGCTTGACCAACCCAGGATGCCCTTCATGTAGACTTTCCAAAACCCGGGGTTTGAATTTACTGGGGACCACTACCCTACACCCCCATAGCAGACAGCCCATTTGGGTAGACAAGTCATGTTGTTTGGCTTTGTATGGAATGAATGTGGAGTCCAACGTCCCCTTAGGCCACCCTCTCCTCACCCAGTTCAATACTGTAGAGATTACTTCATCTTTAGAGGAAAATCAAGCAATGTCATGTGCTGTAATAAGCAACTGGTTGTCTTTTCGATCAAAATGACCGTCGTTGTCGTGGGGTCTTCGACTTTAACTGGAAGGGGGAAGTGACTCAATGCATCGCTTGTTACTTAGCAGTTTGCCGGCTCGATAGGTTAAAGTATATGAATAGGCTGCTAAGAATAGGGACCAACGAGTCATACGAGGTGAAAGGATGGCAGGGGTTTGCCGGTTACCGGCTAAAAGTCCTAATAAAGGTTTGTGGTTACTTGCAGGCCCAGTGAAGAGAACCAATCTAATCTCAGAAGTCTGGGCAGGGTGCCTTCCACGATTATAAGGGAGAGGCGACCCATAAAGTCCTTGAACTTAACAGAAAACCTGCCAGACCCTATGACAGGAATGGAGTTACCTTGATAGTCCTTGAGCGATATTTGGCAGGGTTTCGGTTGTTTTTTTAGTAATGGCAGGAATCAATTGTTTTAAGGTGCTCCAGGATACAATAGAGAGGGACAATCCTGTGTCTACTTCCATGTGACATGGGTTTTCTTCTACAAAAACAGTAACATAAATTTTGTTAGAACAAAGTTTGCAAGAATGACAGGGAAGTGCTTTAGAAGTGTGACAAGCCCAGTTGATGGTAAAACATTCTTCTGATTGATTATGTATTCGTTGCTGTGGTTGATAAGGAGGAGGTTGATTTGAATTTCTTCCAGCTCGGCAAATGTCCCTTACGTTGACATTTCAAACAGATAACATTTCTAAATTGGCAATTTGCCCTCAAATGATTACCCCCACAACTTAAACAGGATAGTGTGATTATGTTGGTTTGTTGTTTGGAACCCAATTCCTGTTTTGTTGGGTCCGTTGACTTTTGAGTCTATGTATGTGTTCTTCATCAGTTAAGGTACCCTCGGAGAAAACATCCTCAGAATGGATGGATGCTTTAGCAACAGCAGGGTTGACAGTATGATGGGTAGAACTTTGAATCTTGGCAGCTGAGAGCGTGGATTGCTCAGCAGCTTGTGATTCTTCAATGGCTAATTTTAACATGAGATCGAATCTAGCCAGGAGACAACGCTGCAATAGTAGATCATGTATGCC